GACAGACAAACAAACCGTGAGGAAACTAGCTTTTCTTTCTTTCTATTGTTCTTTCTTCCCTTCTATCGTTCTTTCTTATCATTTTATCGTTTATCTTTCTTTTATCGCTCTCTCTTTTTTATTGTTCTGTTATATTGTTCTTCCTTTCTATTATTCTATCTTTTGTCATCTGTTTATTTTATTTTTTTGTTCTATTTATTGTTCTTTCTTTCTTTTCATCTTTCTTTCTATCATTCTTTTTTATCGGTCTTCCTTTCTGTTCTTTCTTTTGTTTGTTCTTTTTGTCATTCCCTTTTAGTTTTTTGTGTTTGTTTTATTGTTTGGCCGGTCTCAGTCCACTCTTTCATTTAATCAATACTGACCATGTTTTCTTTGCAATTTCAGATCATCTTCGGCAAACCGTGTATCTCTGAAGCTGCCGACCTCGAGTCTGAAAGGGCCGAAGTCAAAAGCAGAGCTCTCCGCTGACAGAGTGAGATCAGCGTTCATTAGCCCATGATTTACTCTCCCTCAAGCCATCCCAGGTGTGTATGACCTTCTTCTTTCAGGCGAATACAATCAAGAGTTTTATTAAAAAATATCCTGGCTCTTCCGAGCTTTATAATGGCAGTGGATTGCAACCAACAGATCGAAGCTCATAAAAGTGCATCCATCCGTCATGAACGAACTCCACATGGCTCCAGCGTGTTAATAAAGGCCTTCTGAAGCAAAACGATGAGTTTGTGTAAGAAACATATTCATATTTAAACAACTTGCGCAACTTATAACAGAAGTAGCGTATAGTGCGTCATGGCGTAGCGTAAATTACTCGCATAAGTTGCGCTGCACTGTAAAAAACGCTTTTCTTACTTAGTATATTTGTCTTGTTTCCAGTCCAAATATCAAAAAATTCTTAAATCAAGATCCATTTACTAGATGAGTAAAATGACATTTGATATTATGGCCTGTTTTCCGGGTGAAATAAATACAAATTAAGTGAGTTGATTCTTAAAAAAAGAAAAATTATCTGCCAATGGGGTCAGGAAAAATAATATGAATTCAAACAGAAACAAGCTTATTTTTCTGACCCCATTGGCAGATAATTTAGCATGTTTTAAGCAAAAACTCACTTAATTTTTATTTATTTCCCCAGAAAATAAGACTTAATATATTATGTAATTTTACTACTTTAGTAAATGCATCTTGATTTAAGAAATGTTTGATATTTGGACTGGAAACAAGACAAAAATACTAAGTAAGAACATAATTTTTTGCAGTGATAAGTGGAATCCTTATGTTTGTTTGGCCAGGAAGCTAGTTATTTTATTTTAAAAAGTTTTTAATATTAATATGTTTCTTACACAAACTGATCGTTTTGCTTCAGATGTTCTTTATTAACCCGCTGGAGCCGCGTGAAGTTCGGCTCTCCTGTAGCTCAAACAGTCGAGCGCTGGCGCTAGCAAACGCCACGTCATGGTTGGATTCCCAGGGAAAGCAAGAACTGATAAGAATGTCAAATGTGTAGCTTGAAATGCAATTTAAGTCGCTTTGGATAAAAGCGTCTGCCAAATGCATAAATTTTTATGACGGATGGATGCACGTTTTTGAGCTTCGATCTGTTGGTTGCATTTTAGGGATCGACCGATATGGATTTTTTAGTGCCGATACCGATACCGATTTTTTTCCCATCAGCCTTAGCCGATGACCGATACGGGCTGCCGATTTTCTTGAGCCGATATTTGGAGCCGATACATTTTGTTCCCTCAATTTACATCATAAAAATGACATGATGTTAACAAATGTTACAGGTCTCAATTTAATTAAAGTAACATTTATTTAACGTAAAAAAATCAATATTTAACAAATAGTAAAAACATGTGAGGTAGAACAAGAACAAGTAGATAAACAATATTTAACAAATATTAAAAACATGAGGTAGAACAAAAAAAAGTTCACTGCTGAAAATAAATATTTAAAGGTGCTCTAAGCGATGTCATGTGTTTTTTAGGCCAAAACATTTTTTGTCACATACAGCAAACATCTCCTCACTATCCGCTGGCTGCCTGTCCCCTAAACACACTGTAAAGAAACGCGATCTCTGTAGACAGCCCATGCTTCACAAACAGCACCAAAAACAAACTGCAGCGACCCGCTCCCCAAAACATAACAAACTGTTCCAGCCAATGACCGACAAGAAGGGTTTGGGGGTGTGGTTTGGGGGGTTAGTGTGCGGATGAGGAGGAGGGAGGGTCTAGCTAGCCTCCGTTTTGTTTGACAATAGTTCGAACGTCAACAAGAAGTGACGTCACCCAGGATCGCTTAGAGAACCTTTAAGCATAAATAAAATAATTACACTATTGCACACAGTAGCAACCAGCATAATAAAGTGCACAGTGCACACTGTACTTCATTTTAAAAGTAACGAACTATTTACTGCCATGGTTTAAATTTTTCTACATAAAATAAAATGAGCATGTCTAGTCTCTAATATCACTGCGATGGCGAGGGAGACACACACCACACGCGTCCAAACCTCAGCCAGGTGGTCGCTGAATAAATCTCCCACAAAAAGCACGGAACAACGTTGGTATTACTTAATCCTATGACCAGTGTTCGTAACAGCTACCGTACGCATACTAGGGCTGTCAAAATTTCTCAAATGGCGTTTGTATATTCCCTCTAAAAAACATATTTGAACACATCGTCGTGCATTTGGTCAATGACGCGCATCACGTCAATAACAGGACAAATTAATACAAAGAGACATAACTACTAGTATTAAGTAGCTTATTTGAGTTTAAACATATTTGACAACGTATTACTACAAAAAAAAAAAAAAGTAAATCAACTAATGGCCAAGACCGCAGAGCTCACTCTGGCTCGCCCGGACTCGCAGGCGCACTCTCTCTCTCTCTCGCACTCACCCTCACGCTCTCCGCGCAAACCGGTTTAAATGAACAACAACAAACAAATGTTGAGTGCTGATCAAGAGTTTTGTGCAAGCAATTTAAGGTATATAGCAGGCTTCATTCAGTGATTGAAACAAATACATTAATTGAAGTTTCACAGAACATAGAACCGACACTGAGCGCTCCGAGCGAGCTGTGCTGTGGTAACGTTAGTCTGCTACCGCGGGCGTGTTTTTCCACATTCGAATATTAATTTTCACCTTCAAAATTCAGTTTTTTAAAACTATTCGAATATATATTCGTATTTAGAATATTCATTGACAGCCCTAATGCATACTGAACGGATAGCCTACAGCTATTTGCAGCTCCCTAAATACAATGGCAAGCAAGCAGTTTTATAGACGAGTCATTCGCGTTTTCCATTTGGACCCACAAACTTGCTTAGCTATATAGTTGCAACCACATAACAGTTATAGAGCAACGTGTTTCCATTTTCAAAGTGTTTGACAATATTTCAGCAGTCAAACAGTTAAAAGATGCTTTGAAAGTTTAAAAGTTACCGTTATCTTGAAGCGCAGGTTGCACTCTGCTAGTGGGGGAGGGACAGTGCAGGGTCTGCACGTGAACTGCAGCGTCTCCAGCAGCACAGAGCTGCCTGTGGACGCCTGTCTATAAATAATGCCGGGAAAAAACTATCGGCGAACGCAGCAGCCGCGTATCGGCCGATTCCGATACACGTAAAAACCGCAAATATCGGCCCGATATATCGGCTGGCCGATATATCGGTCGATCACTATTGCATTCACTGCCATTATAAAGCTTGGAAGAGCCAGGACATTTTTTAATATAACTCTGATTGTGTTCGTCTGAAAGAAGAAAGTCATACACACCTACACTCTAAACAATGCTGGGTTGTTTTAACCCAAATTTGGGTCAAATATGGACAAACCCAAATGTTGGGTTAAAATGTAATTTAAAATTTTAACCCAACTTTAACTTTCAACTGTAAAAATTTTTAATTACATTTTTATCCCAACATTTGGGTTTGTCCATATTTGACCCAAATTTGGGTTGAATCAACCCAGCATTTTTTAGAGTGTAGGATGACTTGAGGATGAGTAAATCATGGGCTAATGTTCATGTGAAAGTGAACTACTTTTAGTTTCTTCTCAGTGTTGGTCATTAAAGTGTTCCTGTCAGTGTCCGTAATCACGGTGCGTTCATTAGCAGGACTCGTCCATCTCTCGCTGTGAGGAAGCCATCGTCAACGGCCACTGGAATAAGACTCTGTGCCGGAGTCCAGACGACACGTGTGAATTCGCTGGTGCCACTCATCTCGCTTCAACTCCATTCGGTGTAGTCGAGAGGCAGAAGCTCCCGGAGAATCCCGAATCCACTAAAGCGCCGAGCTCTAACATGAGCCCTGAGGAGAAAAAGCTCAGGTACTCCAGGGTTTGTACAAGGTGCTTAAAGTGCTTGAATCTTACTTTTTTATTATTGTTGAGCTCCCCAGACAGCAACACTCCAGGGCCCGTATTCATAAAGAATCTTAATGCAAAGAGTCGCTCCTAGTGACAACATTCTTAGAATTGTGGGGGTTTACTCTTAAAATTAAAGAAAAAATCCTAGAAAAGTAAAAAGTAATTCAGTAACCCTTAAAAGAGGTCTTAAAGGTGCATTGCGCTAGTCTCTGAGTTTTTGCAGAACTACGCCCCCTCTGGCGACAAGCGAAACTGCAACCAGAGGTGCGCACGCTCATGGACCACACACACACACACACACACACGCACGCTTGCACGAGCTGTTCATAACCAAAGGAGCATCAGCGCACAAATCTTTTGTTTACAGTCATAATGTCTTCAGAGGTAATAAAGTTATAAATCTGCAAGTCATTTTAAATATATGAAAGGAAAGGCATTTGAGTAAATTACACACTTATGTGTGAGGGGAAAACGGGGGTTGTAGAAAACTTTGGTTTTTGTTTCCATCTATCTCCATGTTGACCTGTTTTATGTGTTTACTGTATCCACTTATGATTGTATTATTATGGAAACACGTTCATGAACCGTTTTATCAAGAAAAGAGCCCACTGAGGATCCCGTTTGAGCCCTAGAGCAGACCGGAGATCTCTCCATTTGTTGAAAGCCTTCCCGATGTTGACTCTCGTCTTACTCCGACGCCTGTCTGACTCCAATTTGGCCCTTTTGGTGGCACTAGACAAACGTTTTCTTTTCTTTGTCTTACGTGGAGTTTGCGTCGGGGATTGGAATGAACTACAAGCCGGTCTCTTTAAATCCATCTTCTACTTTTGTCGAAAGTTGACTAAAGTTTTGTCGCTCGAGTTGTCTTCTGATACGGAGAATGGCGGCGAATACACAAACCTGCCAGACATAGCCAGGGGAGCGTGAACGCGCATGACGTCACGCCCAGTCTCAAACTCCGGCCCGAATCCCTCTTATTTATTTTACTGTACAGGATTATAGAGGCAATCGCAGTGATCAGAGAAGGGCTCCTTCAGCCCATCAGGCAATTGTTTAAGCATGTATGGGTTAGAAAAACGGGTATTTTTAACATGAAATGTTGCGCAATGCACCTTTAAGGTCAAAGTTGTTAGGAGTACGGACGAGGACTTTTAAGAGGCTTAAGAGTTTCTTTAGCAGAGGAGAGATGGCAGAAAGACGAAGAGGGAGAAGAAATGTGTTGCACACAACGGACGCCAGTGAGTTAATGAGACGCTATAGATCGACACCCGGCCCGAATGTTCCTTTAAGGATGGCCTTGTGTTCGTCCACTAACTGGGCTCACAGTAAACACTGTTCCTCTGTCCAGTCCGGCTTTCTCGGCCGCCTTGGTTTTGATTCCATGTTTGTTAAATTAAACAGTCCTTCCAGAAAAACGCGGAGTTTTTTTGTGATTGTTGGGGGCAAAAATCCTTGATTATGCGGCCCGTTTTCTTTAAAAATGCGATTGAATATGCGGGATATTTATGCAATTATATACGATGAAATTGCGGGAACTTGCAAAAATTGCGGGAACTTGCAAAAATTGCGGGAACTTGGAAAAACTGCGGTTTGATGAAAACGCGAAAAAGAAAAAGTGATTCCCCCAACACCCTGTTCTCACTAGGCTACGACCTTAATGTTAAGAGTCATTTCTTATTACTTCCTATAATAAGCAAGCATATACATCACAGAAAGTGCTGGAAATATTTAATTTCTCATCTTGTTTTATTTTAGACTGTAACGAGTGGAAATAAGGCGTGGCCCCTTTAAGAGCTGCGTTCCCTGTTGAACTGTCTGCAGTAACGTTATTATATTGTATGTGCGCCTCGAACACCCCATGTGTGCGGGTAATTTCTGTTTGATGCTACTTCTTTTATCTTATTTTGTTTATTAAGTACCGATGTGGACGGTAGAACGCGTGACAGACATTTGTACGAGTTCGATTTGGGAATAAAGTGCGAGTTGTCTCCGTGAGTCTGTCTGGCCTCTGCAATAACTTCAGCTGTGAGCTATCCCTATTTTTCTTCCCGACACAACGCGTTACAAGACCTTTATAAACACATCAAACTTACAAAACATTGATGAGTCAAACAAGTCCTGTAGCTTTACAAAAGGAATATGCTACAACTTCTGTAAAAATCAATAAATGAAATATAAAAAAATAAAGTGTGCTCCTGTCTTACAGCTTTTCGATGATGTTCACGTCGCGTAATCACGTCACTTCATAACGTTCCCATGGCAACAGGGGGAAACGGCGGCTCTCGTGTGAAGCAAACGCAACATTTTCCAACTTTCTGCTAAGATATATGTGACTTTTTTGCGACGAAAATGCGGGGATTATGAAATCACGCAAGCCTCGGATATTTTGCGCGGAAATCAGCAATTTATGCGGCGAAATTGCGGCGTATTTGAAAAAAAATGCGACCCCCGCATAAATATGCGGACTTTGGCTCATTATGCATTGAATTCAGCGATCGCATAATCGCGTTTTTCTGGAGGGACTGATTAAAACCAACATTCAAACCAACTCTTAAATAGACATGCCAGCAATCAGTGTAATTGGAAAGAGTGGAACAATTTCTATCATTCTAAGTCAACCAAATACCTTATAGGAAATTAACAGCATGGTAAATAAAAAAAAGGATTTATATACAAATATATAATGTGTGTGTGAACGGTCAAATAGGAAAAATTATGCATGTAATTTCAAACTGAAGGTTTAGAATAGACCCTATACTTAAAATCACTCTTTTTTTTTTTTTTCTCCTTCTTGGACAACCAACCAATAGGCTTTATGCCGAGCGTCACGTGACCAAACCGGAAAACGGGTCTCATTGCATCCCTTGTCAGAGAAAGTGTTAACGGCCGTAAGAACTAACTATGATATCAATGGATTTTTAAGGTAATCAGCTAACCTACTAAGTCCACTTTGTTATTGGTGTTTTATGCTATTTAAAGATCTAAACGTTAGTGTGAAGAAGAAAAATTAAAAAACTTTTACATATTTTGAGTAAAACCGCAAAAAATTTCATGAAGCACATACAAAAGACCTGAATCGGAAGCGATGTGATCTGTTTTCCGGCTTGGTCACGTGACGCTCGGCATAAAGCCTATCACAGTCTTCAAAAGATTGTCACACATAGCAACGGGTCAGCCCCGCCTCCTCACTAAGATGAACGTTTTTGTCTTTTCCTTACTCAGAGTTGCTCTCAGATCGGTCCCGAATCGCTCTTAAGCTAAGACTCCTACATAAAAGTTTCTAAGCTAAATTAAGAGTTTTCTGAGAGGATTCTTAGAGTCTTTATGAATACGGGCCCTGGTCTTGATGCCCAATTCTGATTTGTTGCCTATATCCGATTTTCTTGACCATCCGTTTACACGTTCTTTCAATGACCCATATCCAGGGCTTGACATTAACACCCGCCAACCCGCCATATGCGTGTGTATTTCAGCAGTGGCGTGTAACGCAGTCTCTCCTACTAGCAACTTTGACGGGCTGAATTTTATATAGGCCTAATATACATTTTTCAATTGTAGTCTTTTAAAAAGGCATCTGAAATAATAAACTAAGCGCAATCTAGTGTTGTCAAAAATATAGATTTTTCGATACACGTCGATACTGAACTATCTGAAACTCTTCCTCAGGACGCACCAGCAACGCGTTCTCCCTCTTTAATCTGTCCGACAGCGAGTTGACACCCTTTACAGTCTATGGCGGACACACACACCCTTTACTCACTCGTTTAACTTGCTCCGGATGAATATTGTTGGTTACAGGGTGAGAGATAGCACATATTGAGCATAATTGTACTCATTCCTGCAGATTTTGTGCTCACACCTAAAGTGCTTGGGCATAAAGACAAGTATATTGGCTGTTTAAAACAGTATAATGGGTCCGTGCGTCAGGTCTTAAAGGGTAACTAAACACTAACCAACTTTTTTTAATTAATGATCCGTAATACTGGGGCTTTATTAGTGCTGTTCATTGATTCGAGTAACTTTTTTGACATTTGGGTATAAAGTGTTTTATTCCTACAATATATGGTGTAAAAACGTCTGAGTGCTGCCCTCTTCAGGTTGAACGGTGGCTACTGCAGTTGAATTTTCCTATTGGATGTTTGCGGTAGTTCGTGACGGTAGCGGTGAGAGCTGACGTAAGCAGGTTTCAGCTCACCATGCCCTTGGTACGAGCTACTACGCCCTTGGCAGTATAAAAACCATATTGTTTCGTCAAAACCACTGTAGCGAGTCAGGAGTTGGAATTGCGAGTATTGAAAACGATCAGGATAGAGTATCCGTTCATCCCCTCTATCTCCGCTGGGCTCCGCCCACTTTTCCAGCATTTTTTAAATATTGCCAGTGGGTGGAGTCAGGCTCTGACCAGGGGTTTAGTTACCCTTTAAAGACCCACTCCGATGAAAATAATGTTTTTCTAGGTGTTAACATGTTCTTGTGGCATTTTTCTGATGTTAGAGGACATATCTTGAGAAAAATCAGCTCAAAGTTGTATTTCTGAGTATTTATACATTCAAATGGCTGTGAATCAGTAGCAGACGCTAAAATGCTGGCTAAAATAGACTGGAGTTGTGACGTAGTAACTCCACTGGGCGTCTCCACACGCGACGTCTTGGAGTGAAATAATGATCGGTGATAACTTTGATTAACTTCGGATAATAATAATTAACGTGTATATAATACTGTTGCCCCACCGGTATTGGGGATGTAAGCTAGCGGGAGAGACAGAGCTCTCAGCAACGGGCAGGGGGAGGGGCGTCTCCGTGCCAACGGCTCCGCCCACAACGCAGAGGCGAATTGCTAATGAGCTACTGCCGCTCTGCTGAAGCGAAGTCCCAGAAAACGGCACAGGTTTTGTGATTTTGGCTACAAATGGCATAATCATAATTTAAAGACCACTGGGAATGTTTAAAAATAGCTCAAAATATGATCGGAGTGGGACTTTAAAGCAACAGCAGCCTAATATACCGGCTGCCAAATAATGAGATATTATAAATATCTATATGGCAGTTTTTCCCTATGGTATCAATGTCAAAATTGTGGCCAGTGAAAATGCGGAGTGGCTAGTAACTTTGAAAAACTACTAGCCACAGTCGCTGGAGAGCAAAAAAGTTAATCAAGATCTGCCCATATCTTTTTTTTTTTTTTTTTTTTTTTTTTTTTTTTTTTTTCGCCCGCCACCACCCCCCCTCTTTGGAGGACAACTTTATTTTTAATAAAACAGAAAAAAAACATATATGCACAATATATTACAATACAGACAATAAATGTGTATACAGTAACTATTCAAGTAACTATTACTATTGCTATTACTATCACAGTAACTGTGAATAGCATAACTATTCACCCCGTTCAGTGTGAGCCTGGGTACATAAGTGAAGGGGGGGTTATAGCACCATGTTCAAGGTGTAACACGTAACATAGGACAAGTGACAGACAAACAACAACAGAGAACACATCTTGAGCAAATTATTCTTATTCTTATTCTGAATAAGAAGGTGTTTGAGGGAAAGGGGGTTTGAAAACATGTTATGCATGAGTGTAGATGCATATATGTATGTATGAAGTGATAGCTGCAGTAACAGAAGGGGTGAGGTATGTGTCTGGTTATATACACGGCTTATAGTTATGTTTGTGCGATATTGAGAGATGTCAAGATGTCAAAAATGTAAGAAAAGGGGACCATATATCTTCATAGGCTGATATTTGCTTTATTCTGTACGCATTGTATTTCTCAATTGAAATATATTCTGATATTAAATTTATCCAGTGATTGATGTGGCAAGATTTCTTTGATTTCCAGTTTTGGAGAACTACTTTCTTGGCGACAGCTAAAGAGATGAGCAACGGATTCCTATATTTTTGTGAGATATGGATTTCGGAAAGGTCGCCTATGAGACAAAGTATTGGGGATAATGGGATTCTGTGGCTCATAATGGTGGTGAGCGTCTCAGTAACTGTAATCCAAAAAGAATAGACTGGTTTGCAATGCCACATGGCATGCAAATAGTCATCTGTACTACCTAAAGTACATTGTGAACAGATATGAGTGTTGTGTAGGCCCATTTTGAACATTTTACTTTGGGTAATATGAGTTCTGTGAATGACTTTATATTGTATAAGTTGCAGGTTTGTGTTATTGGTCATAAGAAAAGTGTTCCTACAAATTTGTTCCCAGTACTCAGGGTTGGGAGAGATGGCCAGGTCGGTTTCCCATTTGGTTGTTGGGAGTGTTATTGTTGTGTTTTGGTTCGAAATCATTGTATATAGTTGGGAGGTTAATTTTTTTAAGTTATTAATTTTCAAAAGTTCTTCTATGAGCTGAGAAGGTTGTAATGTATTGTTTGTAAGTGTGGTTTTATTTTTAATTAGGAGTCTAAGTTGTTGATATTTAAGAAATTGTTCCCTCCCAACCCCATATTTCTGTATGAGTGTGTTAAATGACATAAAATAGTGGTTCTCAAATAAGTGGTGAAGCTGTGTGATTCCTTTTTGTGCCCATGTGGGGAAATAAAGAGGTTTATTCTGTATCAGAAATTCTGGGTTGTGCCAGAGTGGGGTTAGCTTATTTAATTCTTGTGATGATTTTGTGATTAGATTTGTTTTCCACCAGGCTGTCAGAGTCGAATAGATGGTTATGGGTTGGCAGATGTTAGATCTGCCCATATCTGATTACAGCCCGTTCTCATCCCAAGGCGTCATATACTGACGTGTTTGCCAAAGCGTGTATATCCAACGCACATGGCACCCTTTAGCGTCAATATGAGACGCAGACATGTGGCGCCTCCTAGTGGTCTAACCCTAACACTACCCCAGACCTAAACCTACCCATAACCGAAGCGTGTTATATTGACGCTAAAGGGTGCCATGTGCGTCGGATTTAGACGCTTTGGCAAAAGCGTCAGTATATGACGCCTTGGGATGAGAATGCGTTGCTGATTAATGTTTACACTTGACATACTATCTGAAACATCGCGCATGCTTAAAGGGGATTCCTGCACAGATGGACGAACGTGAAATATGCTTGATGCTAGCTCTGCGATATATGCGAAGTTCGCCAAACATCACCCTGATGTTGAGGCGGAGGAGGACGAAGAGTGCCATCATTGAGTCTGCGCATGTGCTTCAGTTATTGTGTGCGAGAGAGATCTCAGGACTGGCGGGAGCTTTAACGAGGAGCAGTGGGTCCGAAATTTTAGGATGAGCAAGCCAACCTTTGATATGTTGTGTCAACGTGTGTCCACACTCCTCTCCTACGACGACACGTTTCGTCGGGCCATCCGTGCCTTTGCAGGGTTGCTCTCGTCATTAAATCGCGGATACTTTGCCTAATGCCTCAGAAACTCCGATCTGCCCGTTTACATGACAGTCGCATTGGCACATATCTGATTTATATCTGATTTATATCTGATTTATTTCCACAAATGAATAAGGCCTGAAACCGATCTCGAAATATCCGAATGCATGCGTTTTTTTCCTGTTTACACGGTCATAGAACACATGCGATCTGTGTCACATATGAGCAAAAAATGGGAATTGGGTCACATTTCACTGACAGTGTAAACGAGGCCTTTGTTGCTGTCTGCACGGTTCCTACAAGCTGTTTAAAGTGCTTGAATTGGACTTTTTGTAAAGTCCTGAAAACCCTTGAGAACAGCCATATTTAAGAAAATATACTTGAAAAGTGCAATGAGTGTAAAATGAGTGTTTCATTTTATTGATGAAACAATCTTTTCTCACAGAATTAACGCTGCCGCCCGTCTAATACAGATATAGAGGCATTTCACATGGTTATGAGCGTAATATTGCCCATATTAATATCCAAGTATATGTTACAGCTTTCATTCTTCAGGTCAATCATATATTCACGGCAGTGGTGTAGTGCAGGGTATACGCAGGTATACGGCGTATACCCACTTCTTTTTCAGTCGGCATTGGGCGTATACCCACTTTTAAATCCCCTCTGATGCGCATCATTTAGTTGCTAATCCAATCTCGTGAATAAAAACACCCAGTCAGGGTCGTATCATTGAGATCCCAGAGGTCCTGACCTCAGTCGTTTTTTTAGTGTAGCCTATATAATGAAAGTTGTGCAATAATTCCCTAATATTAACTCTAATTTGGTGCTGCAATGATTCGCCCATCGTGACGATTCTCGTCTGATCTGCTTCAGCACTCAAACACCCGCTCGTCAATGTCAAAATGTTTGAGCCCATTCAAAGCAAGCAGGATTTTTGTTCACAGAAGCGCGAGCCGAGCGCTAATCCCAACGTGACGCTTCACTTCAGTTAACGATCATACAGTGCGAGATAAGATGCAAGTAGCAAAAATATACAGCTGTTTTTCGATAGAAGTTTTAAATGACCGACAGAAATAAGTTTGATCAAAGACAGTGGAAATGATAAGCTCAATTTAACAACACAAGCACCCAAACCCCCCTAGCAATATCATTTATGGGACCTGGGTATTTAGAAAACCCTGCGTACAGGCCTGATATGCAAGAATACTAGTAATTATATTATGTTCTAATCTATTCATTATATTCTAGAATCTAGCATATTCAATACTAATGCAAGACTAGTCTAACATGTCACTGTTTATAACACAGATCGTTCGTCCTTTGCTGGGACGCTTAAAAACAATATTGGGGGCATAAATTAAGAGTATACCCACTTCTCCAGGCACCACTACATCACTGATTCACGGAAATAAATGAGTTTGAATGAGGAAAGCGATATCTTTGTCATAGTATCCTTTCAATGATTAAAGTTTCACACAGTCATTGCATGTGCTGCACTTTATTATTTGTACCATTTTGTTTTATTAGTTAAAAAGAAAAAAAAAGTAAATAGATAAAAATTTTCTTTTTTATAGATCTTGTTTGATAAGTGAGATCTCAGTCCTTGAAACCCAAAAAAAGTATTTAATTTGACAGTTTCTGTCAAACTCTGGCTACTCAAAAATGACACGTGTTCAGCGTGTTCGTTTACTGTGATAAAACTGTTTCTACACCAAAGTTTTTTTTTCAGTTCAAGACATTTTTAAGACAATTCTGAACATTTCCAGACAGTTTTCACAAATAATTACAAAGAAACTTCAAGTAACACTAGAAAGACCAGAATAGTATTTTCTTGTAAAATGTACTCCAGTAATCTTTTTTTTTTTTTTTTTTTTTTTTTTTTTTTACATATTTTTGCATTTCAGAAGTGGATGAAGTTAAGAAATCCACTATAAGACAATAACATTTATAAAACCCTATAAGACAAGGGACATTTTTTTATGAAGTAAATACTAGGGGTGGAACATATGGCCAAAATCTTATTTCACAATACGAGAAATTTTATTTCATGATAACGAGATACTACAGAAATTGAATGATCATATGTAATTTGAATAATTAAATGCAGATAATATTTTCATGCTGTGATATAAACCATATGGCAAAATTTCTATATATATTATTAACACAATATATATTAACATGCTGCCCATCCCTTGTAAATACATATCTTGCATTACATTTACATTTTTTACATTTATGCTTTTATCCAAAATGACTTGCATTGCATTGAAGGCGCACATTTTTATCAGTTCATGCATTCTGCAAATCAAACCCATGAGCCTGGTCTTGCTAGTGCGCCACACTGTTACATTTGACTTCATGTTACAGTATTTTTAATGGCTAATTATGACAAATCTTGATTAGAATCTCACTCAGACTTTGGTTTGTCCATGCTTTGTGTTCATAGTCCTATCCTAGAGATCAGTCAGGAGTTGGGCGGCACTTCCTTCGCTAACTTTTCCCAGGATCCCATGAAGGGGTTTAATGACATGGAGATCAGCCGAGCTGTGGAGGGACCGGAGACTGTGCTGGAGAATGGTGGGTAATAAAGCTCACAGTTTAGAGTTTATATGGTCTCTTAGTGAAACTAGATCTGTTTTAGAGCGGCACAATTCATTGTTAAAAGCTTGCAATCGAAGTTAAATCACTTTTTGAAAGTAACTTGGCGCTTCAAATAAAGATTGTATCGTTACACCAGTAGGTGGAGACAAGAGACTGTTTAAAAATGTGTTTGTCATTGAATCATTCATTCAGGAGATTCGTTTAAAAACACTGATTCATCCTGTAATGAAACAAGTGAAGTGTTTATGAGTGAGTCATTGAATCATTCATTCAAGTGATTAGTTTAAAAACGCTGATTCATCCAGTAATGAAACAAGTGAAGTGTTTATGAGCGAGTCATTGAATCATTCATTCAAGTGATTAGTTTAAAAACGCTGATTCATCAAGTAATGAAACAAGTGAAGTGTTTATGAGTGAGTCATTGAATCATTCATTCAAGTGATTAGTTTAAAAACGCTGATTCATCAAGTAATGAAACAAGTGAAGTGTTTATGAGTGAGTCATTGAATCATTCATTCAAGTGATTAGTTTAAAAACGCTGATTCATCAAGTAATGAAACAAGTGAAGTGTTTATGAGTGAGTCATTGAATCATTCATTCAAGTGATTAGTTTAAAAACGCTGATTCATCAAGTAATGAAACAAGTGAAGTGTTTATGAGCGAGTCATTGAATCATTCATTCAAGTGATTTATTTAAAAACGCTGATTCATCCAGTAATGAAACAAGTGAAGTGTTTATGAGCGAGTCATTGAATCATTCATTCAAGTGATTTGTTTAAAAACGCTGATTCATCCAGTAATGAAACAAGTGAAGTGTTTATGAGCGAGTCATTGAATCATTCATTCAAGTGATTTATTTAAAAATGCTGATTCATCCAGTAATGAAACAAGTGAAGTGTTTATGAGCGAGTCATTGAATCATTCATTCAAGTGATTTGTTTAAAAACGCTGATTCATCAAGTAATGAAACAAGTGAAGTCTTTATGAGTGAGTCATTGAATCATTCACTCAGGAGATTCGTTTAAAAACACTGATTCATCCAGTAATGAAACAAGTGAAGTGTTTATGAGCGAGTCATTGAATCATTCATTCAAGTGATTCGTTTAAAAACACTGATTCATCCAGTAATTAAACAAGTGAAGTGTTTATGAGCGAGTCATTGAATTATTCATTCAAGTGATTCGTTTAAATACGCTGATTCATCAAGTAATGAAACAAGTGAAGTCTTTATGAGTGAGTCTGAATCATTCACTCAGGAGATTCGTTTAAAAACACTGATTCATCCAGTAATGAAACAAGTGAAGTCTTAATGAGCGAGTCATTGAATCATTCACTCAAACCGATTTTTTTCAATTATTCAAGTCAAATATACATTTTTAAATAGACTGCAGCAATTAACATTAAGTCAGAACTCTTTAGTAGATTGCATGTTGTTTTGTTTAATTATCTGTTCAGAATTATGGGAGATTCGTGATCTCAGTTTTAAACAATAAAATCATGATTCAGTTTATCCAGAATCGTCCGTCTCTAATCTGTTGGGTTTTTCTTTTTTATTTGCTTATTCATCATGGCAAAAATAGATTTTAGGTCTCTTTCGTGTGTGTGTGTGTGTGTGTGTGTGTGTGTGTACACAGCAGAGCTGCACGATTCTGGATAAATTGAGAATAAATTTGTTTAAAATGGAGATTACGATTCTCCCACAATTCTGAACAGAACAAAATAAAATAGAATTTACCAAAGGGTTTCTGACAAAATGTTAATTTCTGCTGTCTGTTTAAAATAGTTTATCTAAAAAAAAAACGGTTTGAGTGAATGATTCAATGACTCGTTCACTTGTTTCATTACTGGATCCCAGGCACACACATCTTACATTATCTGGTCATTTTCCCCCGCCCAAATATGCTTTATGATCTAACATCTTTTTAACGTGTTTGTATTTGTGCACATAGTATCAGTCACTGAATCGGAGGACGTCTGCAGTCCAGGCGTGAGATCCAGGCTGTTCCAGCAAGCAGACGTGACCACGCTTCCCAACTTCCACCGTAAAACTGAACTTCTGCCTGACACCAGCGGGGACTTAAATCTCGGTATGTGGAAAACTCATGCACAGTTGCAGGAATATTGTCAAAATAATGTTTAATAGAATATTCCACACCCTTCCAGATGGAGAGACGTTGGTTTACCGCGGTGCGCTGAAAGACTTCACCGTTTACTCATCCATCAGTGGGACTGTCCTTCTGAAGGTGCGACACACACAAGTATATTATTTTACTTTTATAGAATAACATTTTGACTGGCAGGGTAGTAAATAATACATTTCAATGATGGCAAATGAGATTTACAGAAACCTGCTAAAAAATAAACAGACACTTATTTATTTATTTATTTATTTATTATAATATAATTAAAGTGCAATTTTAGTATTATTTATATATTATTATAGTATTTATTAAAGTCCCCCTGTAGTCAATAATTGTATCCCTTAAAACTCATCTTTGATCACCAAAATGAAAAAATGAAGTGTTTTTTCCTCGACAAAAGTATTTATGCCTTAAAATATCTTGAATGTAACTCGACACCCTTCCCTCATTTAGTATTCGTGATTCTATGAATATGCAAATTAGCCCCGCCCCCACTCACTCAGCTCAGAGATCCACTCGTTGATGATATATATATAGATTCTTGTGTAAATACTTTGATATATTATGATGTTCGTGATAACCTTTAACTTTTAGATTTACACGGTTCTCTCTCTCTCTCTCTAAATATATATATATATATACTGTCAAATTGATTAATCGTATCTCACATAAAAGTTTGTTTATATAATGTGTGTGCATATATATATAATATTATATATGTGTACATAGACACACACATATACTGTGTATGTGTGTATATATGTATACTTTATAAATATAATTATATATATATATATATATATATATATATATATACACACGTATCATATAAACACAAACTTTTATGATGGGTGATTAATCGATTTGACAGCACTAATATATATATATATGTATATATATATATATATAAACACTAATTTCTTATATTTTTATTTAGTCATGTGTTTGTGATTTAGCTCTGCTGTTTCCTCTTCCTGTACTGTACGCATCCCTGTGTTCCCCTGTTCAGCTGGACTCTTCCTCGGTGCCGTGGGATTTCTTCATCAGCTCGCAGCTCCGAGCTCGACTGTCACATGACCAGCAGGAGCGTCTCGTCCCGATCTCCTGCTACGTGTTCCAGAACGGCTGCATGACTCTCTGGAGGACTCCTCATGGAGAGACCATCCAGGTTCTTCTCCTAGATTCGCTTTTATTTTCCTCGTAAACCTCCGCAAGTATGGAAGCTTGTTTCCGCCACAGAATAAAACGTTTTAAAAGATAATTGTGAATTGTGATAATTACGAGTTTATATCTCACAATTCTGACTTTATTACAGAATTCCGACTTTATAACACAATTGCAACTATAACACTGGATTGCGACTTTATATCACGCAATTCTGACTTTATAACACAGTTGCGACTTTATATTACACAATTCTGACTTTTATATCTGCCAATTGTGTTATAAAGTCAGAATTGCGTGATTAAAAAGGACTTTACATTACGCAATTCTGACTTTATAAAGCACCTCGCGATTCTGACTTTATATCTAGCAATTCTGACTTTATATCACGCAATTCTGACTTTATATCTCGCAATTCTGACTTTATATCTCGCAATTCTGACTTTATATCACGCAATTCTGACTTTATATCTCGCAATTCTGACTTTATATCACGCAATTCTGACTTTATATCTCGCAATTCTGACTTTATATCTCGCAATTCTGACTTTATATCTAGCAATTCTGACTTTATATCTCGCAATTGCGACTTTATATCATGCATTCTGACTTTATATCTCTCAATTCTGACTTTATATCTCGCAATTCTGACTTTATATCTCGCAATTCTGACTTTATATCTCCCAATTGTGTTATAAAGTCAGAATTGCGTGATTAAAAAGGACTTTACATTACGCAATTCTGACTTTATATCTCGCAATTCTGACTTTATATCACGCAATTCTGACTTTATATCTCGCAATTCTGACTTTATATCTCGCAATTCTGACTTTATATCACGCAATTCTGACTTTATATCTCGCAATTCTGACTTTATATCACGCAATTCTGACTTTATATCTCGAAATTCTGACTTTATATCACGCAATTCTGACTTTATATCTCGCAATTCTGACTATATCACACAATTGCGACTTTATATCATGCAATTCTGACTTTATATCTCGCAATCCTGACTTTATATCTCTCAATTCTGACTTTATATCTCTCAATTCTGACTTTATATCTCGCAATTCTGACTATATCACACAATTGCGAGTTTCTATCACGCAATTCTGACTTTATATCACGCAAATCTGACTTTATATCTCGCAATTCTGACTTTATATCACGCAAATCTGACTTTATATCTCGCAATTCTAACTTTATATCTCGCAAATCTGACTTTATATCTCGCAATTTTGACTATATCACGCAATTCTGACTTTATATCACGCAATTCTGACTTTATATCTCGCAATTCTGACTTTATATCTCGCAATTCTGACTTTATATCTCGCAATTCTGACTTTATATCTCGCAATTCTGACTATATCACGCAATTCTGACTTTATATCTCGCAATTCTGACTTTATATCTCGCAATTCTGACTTTATATCTCGCAATTCTGACTTTATATCTCGCAATTCTGACTATATCACACAATTGCGGCTTTATATCATGCAATTCTGACTTTATATCTCGCAATTCTGACTTTATATCTCGCAATTCTGACTATATCACACAATTGCGGCTTTATATCACACAATTCTGACTTTATATCACGCAATTCTGACTATCACACTATTGCGACTTTATATCACGCAATTCTGACTATATCACACAATTCTGACTTTATATCTCGCAATTCTGACTATCACACTATTGCGACTTTATATCACGCAATTCTGACTTTATATCTCACAATTCTGAGTTTATATCTCACAATTCTGAGTTTATATCACGCAATTCTGACTATCACACTATTGCGACTTTATATCACGCAATTCTGACTATATCACACAATTCTGACTTTATATCTCGCAAATCTGACTTTATATCACGCAATTCTGACTTTATATCACGCAATTCTGACTATACCATGCGATTCTGACTATATCACACAATTGCGGCTTTATATCATGCAATTCTGACTTTATATCTCGCAATTCTGACTTTATATCTCGCAATTCTGACTATATCACACAATTGCGGCTTTATATCACACAATTCTGACTTTATATCACGCAATTCTGACTATATCACACAATTGCGACTTTATATCACGCAATTCTGACTATATCACACAATTCTGACTTTATATCTCGCAATTCTGACTATATCACACAATTGCGGCTTTATATCACACAATTCTGACTTTATATCACGCAATTCTGACTATCACACTATTGCGACTTTATATCACGCAATTCTGACTATATCACACAATTCTGACTTTATATCTCGCAATTCTGACTATATCACACAATTGCGACTTTATATCACGCAATTCTGACTATATCACACAATTCTGACTTTATATCTCGCAATTCTGACTATATCACAC